TATTGATTGTGTTGCTTATGTTAGAAGATTGTAAGATAGGTCTTGGTGGAAGACTTGTACAAAGATCTGACATAGTGAAAATCTCTCACGGAGAGTGAGGAGACTGGCGTACTCTCGAATTGTGAGGGGAACTAAAATATATTATTGTGTCATTTACTTTCCGCATTTATTTTTCAGCATATTTTTTTTTTTGGAATAAAACTTTATATATAAATCAGAAAAGAGGATATACAAGGGTATAAATGACCCCAACCACAAAACAACCAAGAAAACCACCTACTCTAAAAGTAATTGAGCTATATGAGGTCTCATACTAGTATTACCCCACCCTCTATTTGCAAGGGTAGAAGTGACTGGATCTCTAATCTCCAAAAAATTCACCGTATTGCCAAAGACGACATTGTTGCGATACCTCCAGATTTCATGGACGGTCTCCGCTACAGAGCTACGCAGTATGCACTTCCTCCAGCCTTTCCCTTTACAATGAGCCGTTAACCACTCAAGAGCTTCACTGCAATCACAAGGGAACTGTTGATACCCTAACCAAACCAGAATTTGTTGCCAACAGGTTTTAAACGGCGGAAAATCGAATAAAAGATGGTCCATTGTTTCCTCCTTCTTGCAGAATTTACAGCTGTCATCAGCCGTAAGGCCAAGTCTTTTGAGCCGTCCTCTTGTCACAAGACGACGGTGGCAAGCCATCCACATAGTAAAACGGGCTCTCGGTCTAGCATTATTGTTGGATAACATGTGTTTCCAACCAACATCAGGAGCATCCTTCTTGAGGTACTGATACACCTTCCCCACCGAGTATTTTGCCGTCATTTCGTTCCAATCATCCATGCCATAAATGATAATTCTATGTCTAAGAATAGCTTTTACAATCTAAGACATGCCCTGTTTGAAGGAAATTGCGATCTAAACGCAGCGGAAAACAAAAATTTCCTTTAGTGATCCTTACGAATGAGCATGGTCAGTGATAGAATCGTTACCTCTTTGTGGCGATTCAGATCTTTGATGCAGCGATCACAAGCGTTGATGAAGTGCAACGCCTCTACTCAGTCCACACGAACAGCTTCCGGTCACAGTGCTAGCTGCTTACGAACGGAATTATTTGAGTGAGAAAAGAGAATCAAAAACGAAATTGCATCAAGTGAAAGCTTCATCACAAGGGTTCCTTTTATAGACTCTCTTGTGGGCTGCGGGCTAAAAACCCAATTCACATGATCCATAATAATATTATATATTATTATAATAACTATTATTATAATAAATATATTTATTTTATTATTATTTTATAACCATTATAAAATAACAATAATTATTATTATATTATCCGAATTTCTATTTTTCACTTAAGTGCACCGTACCTTACGGTGTTCCTTTGATTTCTCTATCTCTCATCAAACTGTCCTTATGTGTGTGACCCTGTAGGATTTCGTAACGTTGGTAATTATATTAAATTATATATTTAACATAATAAACAGTAAGCGGTATCTAGCAACACATCACTGCTACCCAAGTCACGAAAATGTCATGTGATCTGACAAAACCTTTTTCGTGATAATATATGTTTGTACAATTACCCTTTTGCCCCTATGTCTATATTGAACACAAGGCATACACTGTGTCATCCTTGTCCAGTTCAATATTGGGCCCTTAGACATTTCTCCTGTTATGCAGGATTGGCAAATTCCATCTAGGACACTCATGTCCCTCAGCATGCTTCGTGGAGTGCCCATCAACTGTCTTTATGATCATCCAGTTACGGATAATGTTTGATCAGCAATAAAGCACCCGACTCTACATCTAGGGTCCATAGTGGTTTCAGGTCGAAGGGTGGTAATACACCATTATCACCATGAGAATAACTTATGACACTTTGCATAACATACTATGTAGTATTCTCATAGCGGGTCAATCCGGTATAAATATTACTCCTAATATTTATACCTATGTCAAGACTTGATAACTCTTTATCCATGATCCATGAGATGTGATCATCAGTCTATCTTCATAATAGTCTCAATGCTTTTAATGTTATCCCACTTTGCAATAAAGCTTGACTACGGATATTTTAAGAATAATGTCTTTATGTTTAATGGGATCTCATGATTAAGTCACACTTAACATTTCATTAAACAAAATAACTATTCTAGGGACTTTATTATTCTGAAAGACAAACATAATAAAGAAATGCCTTTTATTATTAAACGAATAATCCGATACAAGTACCAAAAAGTATTGGCCTCTAGGGCTTACACCAACACTGTTTTTCCTGGATCTGCATAATAGCTATTGTTTTGAAGTACAACGCATGGATCCATTTCACCCAAAGAGAATCCTTTTTGTTGCAAAGGTTCCACAACAACTTTGTTAAACAGGCCGCGTTCCAATCCGATAAATCCACCACATCCAGACCGCCCTTTCTCCGTGGCCTGCAGACCATTTTCCACGCAATTGGGGATTTTCTCGATTTCTCCTTGCTGCCTGTCCACAGAAATGTCCTGCAAATAGAGTTAATAGTTTTAATCACATGCTTGAGAAAGGGAAGGCAACTCATCCAATATGCTGCCATAGCAGTAATGGTACTATTGATCAGCTGAAGTCTTCCCGCATAGCTCAATAACTTGGAACTCTAATGGCGAATCCGGCTAACAATTCTATCCACCAAACTCATATAATGATGCGTAGTAAGCCGTTTACAAGTGAGAGGAACACCCAGGTACCGGAAGGGTAAATCCCCTTCCATAAACGAAGTAGAAGCCAAGATGTCGCTTTTTGTCTCAGCGTTCACCCCCCCCCCCCCCCCCCCGAAGTACACCCTACACTTAGCAGGGTTAATCACCAAACCAGTGGACTGGGAGAAAGTTTGCAATTGGTCCATAAGTAACTGAGCTGAATTGTTGTCCCCACGGGAAAAAAGAAGAACATCATCCGCAAAGCTAAGATCAATAATCTGCAGTTTTTCACACTTAGCATGGAAGTTGTAATTAGGGACTTTGCGTAACTGGTGCAAGAGCCTCTGGAAATACTCCATAGTTAGAACAAACAGCAAGGGGAAATAGGGTCACCTTGTCTAAGGCCCCTTTTCTCCTTCAAGGTTCTAGTGACACTGCCAGCAACATTGAACATGTACGACACTGTTGACACCGCCAGCATAATCCATTTCGTGAAATTTTGAGGGAGACCAAATTCCTTGAGAATACACTCAAGAGCATACCAGTCCAGGGTATCATAGGCTTTTTGGATGTCAAGCTGTAACAGACATCTAGGAGTACCACCCTTTCTGCTATAGCCTTGAATTAACTCGTACGCTAATAAAATATGATCATGGATGTTCTGTCCAGGAATGAAGGCAGCTTGGCTTTGACTGACAATACAGGTAATAACCTTGCTCAACCTTCTAGTCAAGATCTTTGAGATGATTTTGTAGAGGGTAGTACAGCAGGATATCGGTCGAAAGTCCTTCACACAATTCCCACCATTACCTTTAGGAATAAAGGAAACAAGAGTACAGTTGACATCAGGGTACATCTTGAAATTCATGAAGAAGTCCATCACTGCAGAAATGGTATCTTCTTTAATGATACTCCATGAAGCTTTGAAAATTTTTGCCCCAAACCCATCAACACCAGGGGCCTTCAGATCACCAATGTCTTTTAGGGCACTGTGGATTTCTGCTTCAGTGGAGGGGCAAACCAACATATCTTTCTGCTCACTGGTAATTTGGGGGCCATCTCTCATAGCAGTCAGGTTAATGCCTTCCAAGTCATTATTAGGACACCCCATGAGTCTTCCATAAAAGGACAGCACCTCATTCTCAATGTCCTCAGTCTTGGTAATCCTTTCACATGTCACAGAACACAGCTTAGTAATAACACCACTGGTTTGTCTCGATTTAACCTGGGCATGAAAAAAACTGTTGTTGCCATCTCCCAGTCTGAGCCAACTGATTTTAGATCTCTGCCTAAGTACCTGTTCCTCAATTTCACTCCAATAACATACCTCAGCTGATCTACTTTTAACAAGATGAATGACTTCAGGGTTGTCCAGGTCCTCACTGAGCCGTAACTGGGCCTCTTGTAAATTTTGTCTAGCATTTTTGAGAGCAGCAGTGGCACCCAACAAAGGTTTGCTAATCTTTTTCACAACATTCTGGATTCGAAGCAGTTTCCTCCACATAACAGACATGGGACTACCCTGGATAGGTAGGTTCCGACTATTGGCAATGTAAACTTGGAAGCCCTCAATCTCAGTGGAACAGTTCAGGAACTTGAACTGGTAGGTTCGTTTCATAGTGTTTTCAGAGCCAGATAGCAGCAGCAATACATGATCAGAAATGCCAGGGGTAAGGATCTTGAGGCTCATACTGATGTATTTTTGAAACCACTCAATGTTTTCCAACCCATGGTCAATCCTAGAGTGAATGATATTGTTACCCTGCCGATTGGACCATGTATAATAATCTCCAATAGTATCCATTTCACTCAGGCTACATCTGTTCATCATATCAGTTAAATCAGCATACTCTTTCATCTGCACCATGAATCCTCCCCTTCTATCAGCAGTTTGAAGTACATTGTTAAAATCACCAATAAGGAACCAAGGCCCATGTTGGTTTTGGTTAATATACTCTATATCACTCCATAACTTCTTGCGATGATCCAGCCTGTTTGCACCATACACTGCTGTGAGCCAGAATTGAAAAACACCCTGCACATCATAAACACCACAATGAAGTAGTTACCCAGTGCTAGTGACTTTCCTGATATCAGTCTTAGCATGGTTCCACCAAATCCATATTCTTCCATTAGCGTGATCAGAATAGTTATCCATAAATGAACCCTTAGGCTTCATTTTGCACCTAACTTTGTCAGCCTTATCTTGCTTCACTCTAGTCTCAAGCAAAATACAAATCAATGGGTTAAGAGAACGGAGGCGGGAGCTAACCTCTTTAGTCTTAACCATCTTATTCAGGCCCCTCACATTCCAAGACACTAGCATTGATCAGTTTGTTGGCCACTTCCAGGATCATTCAAAATCCCCAGTAGCCCAAAACCATTTTGGCATTGGATGTTGTCATCCTCCTTGGCAGAAATTTTGGCCTTTCCTTTTCCATTGCTAGTACTCATAGTCCACACCTCATCATTCTGTTGGATATCCTTATGAATTGCCCTTGTTGTTGTTGTTGTTGTTCCAGTACAAGCATTCCTTATTGTTGTTGTTGCTCTACTAGTGTCCCCTGTTGCTGTTGTTGCACTTTTATTAGCAGTGGCTTGCACCCTCTCCCTTTGTGCTTGATCCTTCACTTTCATCTTCCACTCTTTAGCAGGTATAATGGGCTTGTCACAATTATGACCCATCTTTTGGCAATGTTGGCAGTAAAGTGGTTTCCACTCATACTCAATCGGCTGGTGCAGTCGCGCCCCTTTTTCGTCTCTTATCAGAATGTGTGTCTTAAGCTCTTGTGTGATGTCAATTTCCACCAGGATACGAGCGTATGAGACCCTAAGCTTATTTGTCGTGCACTCGTCTGTAACGAGAGGTGTTCCTAATGCACTGCCTATTTTACTGAGGCTCCACGCGCCCCAAAGATGTAAGGGTAGCTGGGGTAGTTTTACCCACAACGGAACTGTTCTCATCATATCCTTGTTCATACTGAAATCAGGTTTCCACTCACGCAACATCATAGGTCTATTACGGATTGAATACGACCCTTTTATTAAAACTAGGTCTTTGTCTTGGAAGGATTGGAATCTGAGGATGAAGAAACCTTCCTCATTATAGAACATATCAGGGAGTTTCACAAAATTCCAGTTCTTGCTCAAAAATTGTTTTACCGCATTCATTCTGAGGTCCACACCCAGGGCATACATGATAAGGGCAGATTCCCAGAATTTCACTTCCTTTTCAACATCTTCCTCTTCAATTTGGATTTCCATTTCTCCATCAATAATCTTAGGGGCAACAAATTCCATAGTGAGACCCTTCGCCGGATTACGATTCTAATTAATGATATCAACCCATAGTTTTTTCGTTTGGCTTGGTTCCACCTCCATTCTTTCTTCAGTACTTAGATGACCTAGGTCTTCGGAATCAGATGCAATCACTATGTTCTCCTCCACCAGGTTGCCGTTTTCCACTGTGTCATTACGCTCTTCGTTGTCCACAAAAGCTTCCTTTTCCGTGATTAGCAGTTCAGAGATGGCCGCCGTGATTTTTCAGCATATTTACTTTCATATAATTTCTAAAAAAACAAAACCAGTGCTAACGCTTCAAATTGAGAAAAGTCCAAAATTGAGATTATACATGCAATAGGAAGTTATTTTATATATATATATATATATATATATATATATATATATATATATATATATATATATATATATATATATATATATATATATATATATATATATATATATATATATATATATATATATATATATATATATATATATATATATATATATATATATATATATATATATATATATATATATATATATATATATATATATATATATATATATATATATATATATATATATATATATATATATATATATATATATATATATATATATATATATATATATATATATATATATATATATATATATATATATATATATAACACTTTGTAGGAAGTCTGCAAATTTTAATATAAAACTTGGGGTGGATACCCATCATTAATTCCTAACTCTTTGGAAATTTCTAAGAGGCAAGTTAGGACATTTATAATATATATTTGACAAAGAGAGTAGTGCCTGTCCATATTTGTAATCATTTTCATCAATCAACATGTGTCATTTTAATATACGTGTCTTAATCCAGTGCCAAACATTTAGACAGAATTTTAAAACAATTAGATTTTATGAAATGTTTTAAAGAAGACTTAATTTTCTGTTTGGTTCTTTTTCTTTAATTTTGGGTCTATTGTGTTGTTCTTGTACAATTATTAAATGAGTTGTTTTAACGATCTCTTAATTTTTAAAAAGACCTATTTAATCATTTATCTCTTTATAACGTGTCACATTTCTTTTTTCTATTAAATCTATTAGTCAAAGTCAAATTAAATAGTCATGTTAGAAACACAAGACGTTGATGTGGAAATTAAGCGCTATGTAAAGGTTAAGTAGCTGAAGTGAAGATTAACTTAAGTTAAAATGAAATGACTAAGTGAAATTTATTTCAACACATCAATTTCGTTCTAACAAAACTCTAACACATAATAAAGGTGAATTAGAAGGAGACAACGAGTGAAAGAGACAATGATTAAAGGTGAAACAATATTCAAATGAGATAAAGAGTGAAGGCGATTTCTTGTAACACCTCAAAATTTTATTTGATTTTTGGTGTTTTTTTTAATTATTTATGTGTTATTTTTAGAATAATAATAATTTAAATTAAGAATTTATTTATATAAAAATATCAAAAATGATAGATAACTGAAGGATTATAATTAATTGAAAATTATGGTGGTTAATAAGCATAAATTGTGAAATAAAGGGAGGTGGATAAAATTAAAAAAAAAAATAAAGGAAATTAATGAGAATAAAATAACTTAAATAAATTGGGGTTTTAGTTTGTATAAGAGTATAGAGACTTAGAGAACACGTATCAGTTTTGAGAAAAAAAAAGAGAAAAAGAGACCGACCTTAAAAAAGAGGATTGCAAAAGCAGGATCTCTAATCACCAATAACTCAATGTTTTCGGCTTAATCGAGGTAGGGGAGATATTGTTTTATATTTGGTGTTTAAGCTTCAGGGTTGTTTACCGTGGATTTTGGTAAGCAACCGCTAATCTTCCAAAATCAATACTTTGTTACTTGCAGGATCGACTATATTGATCCTAGGACATATGTGCATAGTTTTTTTTTAAGTTCTCTTGATAATGAATATATTGACACTAATTTGTATCTTTAAAGTAATGCAAGAATAATTTATGAAATTCAAAGAAATAAAGAATGACTTCGACTAAAATTTAAAAGGTACCAAAATAACATTAATGTAAATGACTTGATATTGGATGAAAATATGGTGATTCATACGCACATTTCGCTCAACAATTATTTTTTCAACACACTTAGATACTTTGAGTAATATGAGTTTTGTATACAATTGAACATACTGAATCTTGATACTAAGATCCCTATTTATACAAAATTAACAGTAACGCTAACAAACAGTCTCCTCTCCAGAGAATGACACATTTTTGTTTGAATGTGTTTCGCCATTCACAGGCTTCCAAGCATCCTTCAAGAAACAGATAAGGCTGAAAAATAGTTAACCAGCCTTATTTCAAATTATCTCATCGAAACCAACATCAAACTAGGTCCAAAATATTCAAAGTCTGAGAATGATACCACCCTGTAAAAGTAGACATCTCTTTACCAATATTTAGTTGAAATTCCACCAAAATCTTCTTAGTCGAACTTGACTTACTAGCTCCAAATATTCCTTTCAGTTTTCCTTGACTTCTCAAATCTTTCTTAGCGTCGAAATTTCAGCTAACAAATTTCCCCTCAAAAATGTATTTTTCGACAAAATGGAGAAAAAGACATTTTTTGAATGCTTCGACGCTACAGTTATTTTTACTGCTATGACGCCATAGTCGTTATGACCTATTTTTTTCAAACGCCTCATCGAGACATGCAACATCCATACAATAATCATGACCCCTAGTTTGTAGGACAATCGTGGTACCTAAAAAGTAATCACTCATCCCATCCTATAAAACATGAACACGCGTCCCACGATTTCATCCCATTTGCCACCGTATAGAAACTGAATAATTTCTTTCTTCTTCTATAAAGACTTCTCATCTTCCACACTTGAAAATTTTCCACCTTCCAGCCCTAGAGCTCCATTGCATTTGCGATCTTTAAAAACACTCAAAGAATGTTTTTTACATCAGATTTTAGCTTTCTACAAGGGTATCTTCAAAATTAAGAAACAGTAAAGATAACAAGAATAAAAAAGAAGTTCCACCACCCATTACTCAAATTTCTAAGCCATTGTTGATGGGGAATCAAGAATATGTTCCTAAACCACCTTTGCATGAAGAAAAGTGCAAGATTTATCAGTCTCAGGTACTTATTCCCTTCTCTATTACTGGCGAGCCCCATGCATTTATGGCCCATTTACCTGATCTTAGTGTAGATTCTGAAAAACTCCGAATTTTCCCCTGCTTACCACCGTACTAACCCCATAGCTAGAAAAAGGTAAACAATAGTCGCTAGTGAAGATGTTAGTGCTAATCTAGATTCTAAAAATGATGAATCTAAGGGTAAAAATAAAGTTAATCACCAGGCAAAACCTTCAGCTGAAGCCCCGAAACTCAAAGACACAACTAAGATATAACATGAAAAAACAATTAATCTTGACTATACAAGCAACACTCTTAGAGTAATTTTCTCTTGTCCCTTATCTAGAGACCCTGAAGCTTATCTCGTATGGCTTGCAAAGGTTGAGAAGAAAAAAACTCAAATCTGGAAAGAAATGATAATTTCCAACATGATTTAATTGTCAAAAGTGGGACTAAAATATTGTCAAAATATGTTGGTTGCCTCTTTGTATTTCTGGGACAACACTACCAATACCTTCCACTTCCCTTGTGGGATGATTACCCCAACCCTATTTGACATTGCTACAATCACTGGTCTTCGACCAATTGAAGAGACTTTTGACCCCTATGAAATGAATGAAGACACCATTGGATTTAACACTCGACGAGCCAGCTTCACCCACTACATAGATGATCACCATAACACCGAAAATAATGAAGTCTCTCACGAAGAACACATTGTCTTCTTGGCACTCTGGTTATCTCGCTGCATCTTCTACTGCAAATTGCTGAAGGTGGTGAAAAGGTTTTTAACTCTGGTGAATCAATTGCATGCTAGATGTAACATCTGCCTTAGTCAGCTAATATTGGGTTGGCTTTATGAATCCTTAGGAGGTGCTATCAAATTTTTGAAGAACTATCAACTAGGGAGGAACCTATTGCTGACTGGTCCATATTGGTTGCTTCAATTGTGGCTAAATGCTACTTTTGAACCTTCGCTTAGAACCAAGAACACACTCAACAAAGATGACGAAGCCATTAAAAATAGGAGAGTAGAAGGAACTCGACTGGCCAAATTAATTCCTACTGATGAAGGAATAAGTTTGAAGGAAGCTTTTACCAGGTACGTGATGATGTTCGCCAAACGCTATGATTTTACTCCATACATGGCTCGTTTTGCCAACAGGACTCATGGTCTTGAATGGTTCACCAAAGAATTCCCTGCTCCTTCAACAAATCAAGAAGCAGAATCTTTTGCCATATCAGAAGCATTCCTCATCCCTAGGTTAATTGCAACTATATTTAGGCCTTCAAAGGACCAGTTTAACTTTCTCAGTTACCAGCCTAACCTTGTCTCTCGATAATTTGACCTTAACCAATTACTGCCTAAACCGCTTTACAACAAGAAAGGCACTCTTTGTCTCCACAACATGATTTTCTTTGAAGCTGAATGTGATAAACGTCTGGCTCGACATGCCTCTGAAGCTGCCAAGATGACTCATATCTCATTCCGACCATCCTCCTACTGTACTCAAGAATTTGATGCGCAGTGGAAGGATTATTATACTGTAGAATCTTTGACGCCCCTTCCCTTTTTCGACATCTAACACATGCTTTTTCTTCCATACATAAGAGATTCAAGAAAGGTACAACTACTCACATCAAAGAAATCCTAGCATTCCATAAATAACTTAAAACTGCATACAAACTTGATGATCTTAGTCGAACCATTTGTGAAGCAGCAATTACTTTAAAATAAAATTTTATGAGGAAACTCTCTGATTTAAAAATCCCTTCGCGTGTCAAACACGAAGACAAATGTATTAGTCTCTTCCTTTCTTTTAGCTGTTAATCAAAAGAAGCCGATAAAACATAAGGATGTCGTTGCTGCGGTGAAGGAAGCGAAGAT